CATTATATTAACTCAACCTTTTTCATATTATCCACTGCCTTCTCTTAATTTGCCTTCCCTTTCGGTGTCGCCTTATTTCGGCGGCCATTTTGGATTTGCAGTCCAGCATGGCGTCTGTCCGTGTTTGAGGGCCGTTCCGTGGCTCTGCGGGTGATTTACAGCTCAACTGGACGTCTGACAGCCTAGCGTGCAGCTCAGAGAGAGCGTCCTATGAGGTCGCTCTCAGAGGTGCGGCCCTCTGCAGGCTGCACAGCGTGTCATCGCCGGCGTACGGACGATCGTCGTAACAGCTCAGCAAATGAGCCATTCCACCGCGGAGACGGCAAATGACACGCTCAGAGCGCTGCCGTGCCCGGCGGCTGGTGGTTTTCTCGGCGCTGGAATGCCGGGCGATGGTCGGAGGACGTGTCATCAGGGAGCGGGAGAGGCGAGCTGGAGGGCATGTGCATTGCAGCAGCTGCTCATAAGAGGGTGGTAGGTACCCGTATCCGTTGCGAAACATTAGCTAGGTAGCTTTATAGCCATACCATTATGATGCTTCCATGGGAGCAATTATTAGGTACGACTCACGAGGAACATCATAATCATTAATTTGCTAGGATTATTTTATCAATGAAACAACATTTGAAATGTCTTCAATAAATTGTACCTACCAAAATAAAAATAAACAAAAAAAAAATAAAAAAATGAAATAAGGATAATAATAGAAGGCTCAAACAACCTTTGACTTAAGAAGATTCAAGAGCAATTTAATCAGAAACTTTAATGGGTGCTTACGTCACTCTGACTCCGGCCGGGAGCAGGCAAATATTTTATATTCATCATGAACGGTTCTGACACCCACTCCCTTGATCGTTGTGCACATACAACTCAGTAAAGGTAACTTCTTGACAGTTGCTCAAAATTCAAGTAAAAGCTCACCTACATTTGAAACTGAAGGGCACACTTTTCCTTTCACGGAACACTTCAAACTTATACAACCCTCCAACGTCCCTGAAACTATGTAAATAACCACTGACCAATCGGCTCACGATTGCCAGACGAGACAAAATGATGGGTCTTCGTGCACTTTCCACTGCCGAACATTCCTCCCTGCTGCTGATGAGGCCAATAGGTAGATGCGTGACGGCTGACAGTCGGCAGCGGCTCCACTCGCAGAAAACAGTCCGGTGAATGCTTCCCGAAAGCCAGCATCCCCGCCTGTTTCCTTGGTTAATGACTGCTGCACACTGCCGGCGTATACTGACCATTACTGCACGGTTTGAGAGAGCCATGACGAACCTCCTGCACGCATTGGAGAATACCGCGAACCGTTCCAGCGGAGCAGCTTGAAGGGAGGTCAGGTAGAAGCGTAGGGGGAGGGGGAGAATGGGGCTGAGCTGAGAGGAGATGGGTAGTGAAGTGAGGACGAGGTAAGCACTTTTGAGGATAGAGAACGGGAAGGAGAGGTGGAGGCAAAGGCATAACGCAAAGAACAAGGTTAGGCAGGACTAGCAGAGAAAGAGATGTTCTCTAGGAGTCTAGGAGTCATAGTTCATTATTTGGTTAATCGTAATCTGGCAGATGTAGCCAATAAGCTGCCGAATGTCTGAATAAAGTGAGGCCGTTCGAGTGAAGCGAGGGAATGAAGCCGGTCGTTCGAATCGTCTCCGGGTAGGTTGGGCGTTTAGAGTCAGCACAAATCATCGCGATGAGAAATTATTAGTCACACCGATCGGTAATTTCTGATACTTATCAGAACTCCGGTGATGATGCATTGAGCTGATGTGAAGTAACAAATTATCTCGTCTGCCAAAGCAATATTTGTGACTTGAGTCGCCCAAAGACTTTCAACTGGCGCTCTACAGGTGGTGACGCCTGACAGCACCGTCAGACACGTCATGTCGACATCCGTGGGGATGGGGTGACCGTGACGGCAGCACCAGACGGGGGAGGGGAAGAGAGTGACACTGCGATGACACCGTCCGGGGCGCCGCCACATCCGTGTGTGCTGACGGTGGTCGACTGTCGATCCACCGATCAACACGCTATTATGAACAACACAGCAGCGCTGACGCGAGGCTTTCACAGACCGAAACAAGTGGTATGAAATCAATATTCATTTAGCGGAGTGCTGCCGGACACAGACGACTGAATTCATTTGTGGCGAGTTTTGCTATATTGTTTGGACACAAACAGTGCGTCTGAAGAACGATCAAGTGCGTTGAATAGCGGGAATGCGAGTGGTGACGGTCGGTAACAGGCTATTGTGGACCGAAAACTGCAGTCCGTGTCGACCCCACGGTACTGCGCACGGCGCACGCAAGGTCAGGGTGAGCCGTTGGTGAGCACTGGTCACGTCCTGAAGGGGATTGGATGGGAAGTCACAGGGCCACGACCAGCGATGGTAACGGGGTCGACGGTCACATACTCGATTTTTAAAATATTTTATCCGTGGGCAGACGGCGGCGAATGGAAATGGACGTATTGGTACAATAGACATCGACGCTCTGGTGACCTCAGCTTGACCCAGCAGCACATGATCTGTGGTTTATATAAGTAAAATAAAGAAAACGCACGATACCACTATGTTTAGGTATAACAATAGTGAACGACGCTGTTCCGCACAACAGTGCTCGCAGATTCCATGTTGAGCATTCTGTATAGAGCTTCGCATTCAAAAGATTGCGCGATTAAAATAGATTTATTTTCGAGGAGAGCGGCATATTTTCCCCGACATGAGGGGAGTTGTTTCAAATTCTAGCAAAATCCCAGAGTCTGGGTCGGTTAAGGTTCAACGACCCCCGACTCTGACTCCAGGTTGCTTGCCGAGACTGCAGGCTACTCAGAATCCAGAGTCCCACGGCGAAATCCCGGTTCTACACCATTGTCCCCTCCCCCCGCAATCCCGCCATGGAGCTGAACGCACGATGGCGGTAGTGAAACGGCGCCGGCGGTAGCTGCTGTCAACCTGATGTGATACAGTGATTCCCCAGTGATACAGCTGTGCTTCCCCCCGTTCAAAGCATGCACAAATATTTCATGAAAGGATGTTGCTTTTAAAAAGTAGCCCATTTTTTTGTTATTGGACGGATGGACAGAGCCGGAGCTCGTTGTGTAGAATACCATCCCTACCCGTAGAGGACCCGAGTCTCGAACCCTACCGTCCGATCGGGCAACAGCAGAAATTAGATGCCACAGTTAAACGTGCGCTTGAAACTCAGATACCTTTGTCCCACCCAAGTCCCACCCAACTTTGTTTGCCTGTTTGTTTGTTTGTTTTGTTGGGTTACGCCCTTTCGGTCTGACAAGACCATTTCAGAGCCGGAAGGATTATGGGAATTAGGGAGAGACATTGGTCTGGGCAGACACCCTAGAGAGTCGCCGGGGCTGAGCCCGTCCAATTGGACAGGCCGACCAGCCCCCCAAGCACTCTCTGCACCCGGCTACGGGTGTGCTCCCTCGGGAGCAGCGGCGCCGCTCCAAGGGAGGAGCCCGCAAGAGATAAAGGTGCCTGTCCAGCCAGGAGTGGGGGTTGCGGCGTGGAGGAGAAGGATTTCAGTATCCTGGGGACGGAAACGACAGAACGGAGGCCCACCCAACTAACTTCAACTGGCTGCGGCTGCTCCCACCAACCACAAACCATTCTCGTCACGAGTCTCACATTTCGAGCGCCGGAGCGACTGAAACCCATCCTGTCAGCACGGACTCCAACGCTCTACAGTATCAAGTCATGGGACGAATGCCCATTTTATGGTGAACATCAACGCATTACAAACCGATGTTGTGTCATACGGTCGATGCGGGCGGTTTTCTTTTTTTTTGCGTCGTTTGCGGTGTTAAATTTGTTTGCGGTTGGCGGCCGCTTTTTCGTTTCTTTTTGCGGTGTTTGCTTTTGGCGGCGGGCGGGCGATTTTTAGGCGTTTTCGGTTGGCGGTTAGCGGGCGTGGGATGCGGGCGGTTTTATTGTTTTGCGGCTTTTCGCGTTTTTTTTTTATTTGCGGTTTGCGGCGGGCGGGCGCTTGTTTATTTTTTTGCGACGTTTGCGTTGGCGTTCGGGCGTGCGTTTTGCGCGTTTTGCGGTGTTTGCGTTTTGCGGCGGGCGGGCGTTTTTCACAATTCAAAGTCCAAACCTTCGGGCCACAGCGCTCCTCGAAAAGCGCTGCCCTCGAGTAAACCGATGTTCTGTGTTATACCTCCGTCTCGTCCACTGCTGCACTCTGCAGACACTGGGCAGAACACTCGGAAACAGTGTCACCTAGGGACGGGACGTCGAACTAACAGTACTGAGACTAGCACGGCGGTGGCGTAAAAGGCGGCCGCTATTGGGCGTCTCTCAGCACCGGGTATTAGTTACAAAATGAATACCGTAAAGTGGGGCTATTTGAGACAGTTTTTAAAATGGCTATAAAATGAGGAGCGTTTGAATTTTATGTGATATTTTTGCACAGGAAGGTGTGGAATCGAGCGGTAAATCGCCTGAGCAAAAATTAAGCATAAATTTCAAACGGTTTCTATTTTATAACAATTCTAAATACTGTCTCAAATAGCCCCACTGTCTCAAATAGCCCCACCTTACGGTACCTTCTTTGCTGGCATGTTGAAAATTTCCCCTGTTGATGTGGCGAGAAGTTTGGACGCGGTTTAAGATAGATGAGAAAACCACCCCATTCTTCCAGTCATGACCAGTGTTTTAGGTGTGGCCTCATTCTCAATAGATGGTATATCAGTATCCTAGTGTCCGGCAGAGGGTTCCAAGGAGGTATCCGTGTAACTGTTTGAGCCACTTGGTGCTTGAGGCCCAGCAAGCTAGTACAATCTGATGATGCAGTCAAAGTAAGTATTTGTTCTTCCATGGGGTCTAGCAGTTAATGTGTCCCAGTCTTAAACTCCAAACTCGATAGCGGGTTTCCGGAAAGGAGCAAATATGTCCAATTTCCGAGGGCGCTATCCAGCTTTTGTTTAACAGACGTGCTTATAGCATTAATGCCGGCCTAGCAACTAAATGAAAAACTTGTTAGTAGTTGATACACATAAGCGTAATATATTTGAGATACATGACAGGAGAAACAGCGTGCAAATAGCGAACATGAAGTACGTAACAACCGATGTGCAGGATTTCCTGCAAAAGCTCTACGTAAAAACTCGCAAATTATTCCGACTTCTGATCGCTCAACTCTCCCACATCCATCACAGCACTCTACAAAAGCCAACTGAACCGTGACCTCTGTAACTAAGACAAGCGCAGATCCAAGCCATCATTGGGTCCAGTCGACTTCCGCTGTATCCTAACATCCATATCCATCGTGACATTGTTGTCAAACCACATACACATCTCTCTAAATTCTCCAGAAAGGTCTCCATAGCCGCCTCATGTCCTCAATCGATCACTCGCTGCCTTCTGAGACTATTAAATCTCAATCTCACAGGCTGGTCACACACAGCGGAATGGCTCCAGACTCCTGCCAACATCTCCAGACCATTGGTAAACGTCGACCAGGTCTAGGCCACTCCTCCCGGCCTAGTCTGCTCCTCTCGGCCTCAGTCTAAGCGACTCAGCTCTGCCAGCTCGTCCTGTTCCGTCCTGACGCGACCCGGCTCGACCAGACCGCATCCGACCCGTGCCACTCGAAGCCAGCACCGCTGACCCGATGTAGCTAGATGGGTCCAATGCAGCCAGTATCGAGCTAACCCCGCCTGTCTGTTCGTCTCAGCACTCTGTCTTGCGCAGGGCGCTCTCGGCGCGGCGGCGCTGCTGCCGCTGCCAGGTCTCCAGTTGCCGGACGGCCGTCAGCAGCTGCATGGACGCCTCCTGGAGCGTGGAGCAGGCCGTGCAGAGAGCCGTGGTGGGGCTCAGAGAGACCACAGCTGCCGACGGGGGGAGGGGGGTCAGTGGGGGTCACAGGGGGATTTAGAGGGAAGGGAATCAGTGGGGGCGGGAGCACAGAGGGACTCAGAACACCGCTGCGGACGGGGGGAGGGGTCAGTGGGGGTCATACTACCGCTGGTGGCGGAGCAGGAAAATAAAACAAATTTAATGCTTTGTAACAATGTGAGTGGGACATGTCACTGTAACTGAATAGCAACATGCACATGCCTCTACATAACGAGGCATACGGAGGTCTATGCCACACGAGTCGTGAATGATTGAATGGCCAACGATGTCAACTAAACCAACATATGTTTTCAATGGAAGTAAAACCTTGACTGATTTGATCTGGTTGGTGCAGATTATTATGTACATACTCCGATGATTACGTACTACTTCTACGCAACAGTGGCAAGAATATCCTAACGAGCACTGAGTTCCAGTTTTCTTTTTTGTCTGTAAGGCTAGGTGCCGCCGTAATCACATCGTCGCTCAACTGCGTTCAGTTCTCTCTCTCTCTCTCTCTCCAAGAAAGAGCGGAATGCTGATCGCCAACCGATTTAGCATTCCGCTGGAAACCAAACAAAGCCATGCTAGACGCGGAGAGTCATATTTATCAGAATCTACGCATTGAGTGCATTTGTGATAAATCAAAATGAAAGAAAGTAAAACTGAACTATCTTTGGTACACGAGGGAAGCCACAGCCGCCCACGGCTGCGGCTGCGATCGGGAGTCCTCCGACCTCGAGAAGGTTATTCTCGCTCCAGTTCCATCACCTTACTCGGCCGGGGAATGTGGCGCCCCAGTTAGCCGACAGATATCGTACCCGACCCTGGACCAGATCTCACCGGATCCGGCGTAACTCGGCCCGCCTACAGCGGTGTCAGCGGCTGGTCAGTTCTGGGCCGGATATAAACTGCGTGTACCGAGCGGAGGACCCTATCAATACCCGCCCCACTGAACTGCGCGAATCAGGTCACCGGTTATTGGGAGCAATTGAACTGCCATCCCAACAGAATGGCCTGGCTCGGTGGCTCTGACGCAGTGTACTCGTATACCTCGATAAACGGCTTAAAACAGAACGGCGGTGAGTTATTGTTTCAATAAGACCCGGCTAACCCTGAGGAGATGGACAACTTCAGCGTTCCGGGCTTCAGCATTCTGCCTGCAGCCATACCCCATCCCCTGGAGATTTACAGCCAGGAGGCCCAGACAATAAACATAACAGGCTGCTCAGAAACCGGGGGAGAGACACCAGAATAGACTCATCCAGCCACCAGGTCACATCGAATCCTGCTAACAGCTCCACCGAACGACCGTCCTCCCCAACACCGAGCCTATTGAGCCACCCCACACAGCCGTCACAGTCGTCCAGCCCATCTTTCTCCGCGCCGTATCACCTCGTCGGCGCTCCGCCGGCCGACCCACCGCGGACGTACCGTGTTCGATGGTCACTATCGGACCAACGGCCGTCATCCGGCCTCCCCGCCGCCGTACGGAGCCCGTTCATACCGCTCGTGATGGGTAACAGTGGCCCCGGCGGCGGCCGACCGCCGTGACCTGAGGTGGTCCGTGATACAACATCGCAGGAGAACACCAAGGGATCACCCGGGGATTACCCGGGAATCAGCGGAGGATCAGCGGAGGATCAGCGGGGTGCGGTAGGATCAGAGCCCCGTGCTCTCCCGGGTACTGAAACGGGAGAGTGCACTCCTGCGGCAGCGGGTGAATGGTTCACAAATATCATCTACGGCTGTACTGGGAGCCATCGCCATCGGAGAGCTCAGACCGGGGCGAAAATATCACCGACTGAATATCTGCAAACGAATGCTGGGTGGAGTCATGACGTTGGAAGCAAAATATAGCCACACTTCAAAGTCCAAACAAGAATTGGCTCAACTATCTGATCATAGATTAGAACAGCCCGCGGGACCACACAAACCCTTCGCCAGGGTCTTTTCTGCACTTTTAGAAGGGATTCCCCGTTGCTTTGCCCGCTCGGCTCTCCCCTCCCTGGAGCGTAACTCACGCTGTGTTTCGGCGCGGAGATGGCAGAACAGATCGACCACTGTGGACACGTCATCGCCCTCGTGCGACAGCTCCGGCGGGAACAGATTCCTGGGAAGAGAGAACGGGGTCGTAAAGACAGGGCATGGTGTAATAAGAGGGCTGGGGGAGAGGGGTGTACGCATGACCGTCAATAAACGATACAGCGTTATCGGAATTCGGAAGTATTACAGATGCTTTGGTGTAGGTTAACTCAAGGTGGTAACGTCATAATGGTTGACATTAATTCAACTCTTTACTGATGAGACACATAGGAGTTCCACCAATGAACGATACAATCGCACGGAGCAGCGAACCGCTAGTAATCACCTGTGGCGTCTGTACAGCGCGAAGGCCGCCTCCAGCTGTTCTCCGTTCAGCAGCTCCAGAAGCAGCGACTCTGCCTCCCGCCGGCTGGTGACTCGCGCCGCCGACTCCGACTCCGACTCCGACTCGGCGTCCGACGGCGGCTGGAGACGACTCAGCGCGTACCGCAGCTGGGTCACCTCCGAGGTCAGGTCAACCACGCCCTGCGGGGGTCAACAGAGGTCAACTACGGCCTACTGAGGTGAGCAGAGGTCAAACATGAAGGCCTGTAGAAGTCATTACAGGTCAGACACGGCCTGAGGAAGGTCACTAGTGGTCAGAAACTATTTGAGAGAGGTCAGAAGTCAGAGGTAAGGTTAGGGTTTACCACACTCTGTGTTATGATAGGTCATCACAGATAAATTACATAACGGAGGAAGCCTGCGAGTAGCAGTCAGCCACGGCCTGTAGAGCAAAACTTCGCAGTTCAGGTGAGCGGCACGGCGCGACGCAACGTTAGGCGAACTCCGCTACGACGGAGCTGGGGCTCGAAATAAGCAATTATAGGTTTAATTCGAACTTACATTACCCCATCCAGGAAATGGAAGCGAGGCATATCTCGCATCGCTACCCTCTGCCACAGCATCAGACAACTCATGACCTGCGCAGTCCCGGCTCACAAACCGCACCAAATCTGGGAAGTTTCATGAGTAGGACGTCCTGTTCTGTACGATGTGCGCCACTCACGTCACTACCAACACCCACCGCGTCACAAACGACTTCTCAGTCGGAGCTGTGATCCGAGTAAACGTCGCTGTAAGTCCGGGTCAACCATTGGAAGGAGTAAACCATGCAGAAAACCACCCAAAGCGGCGCCCTTCCTAGATCCGCTTCGGGAAAATACACGTGACCAGTGCAGGCGGGGCCAGGATATGTCACGTGCTACATTTAGTGCCAAACGCTAGCGTTCATTCCACCCATGGTAAGTCCGCAAAGAGGTATGAAGGTTATACATTCTGACAGCCATGGAGCTTGCCACTGACCAAACACAGAGAGCTCCCACCCACGATCACAAAATGTCACTCACATAAATAATTGCTCCCATAACGCACGGACGACTCCAGCCTCAGCTGGACGTGTCTCATCCCCACTGACCACCCACCGTTCTCCGTACAAGCTCAGGACCGCCGTCACCGCTCCCTCACCTGAGCATCCACGCTGATGAAGCTGAGCGTCTTGGCGAACCCTTCCATCAGCAGCAGCAGCTGAAAGTGCAGCTTGTAGACGGTCCGGCACAGCTCGATGTACGTCTCATCCAGTGGTCCGGGAGCGTCTCCGGACCCACTCAGCGGGACCGTGGTGCGGACCACGTCCAAACACTGCCCCAAAGGTCACCGGACCGGTCAGAGGTCACGGCTCAGGTCAGAGGTCACGGGACGGGTCAGAGGTCACAGCTCAGGTCAGAGGTCACGGGACGGGTCAGAACCCGGCGGGGAGGCGATGAATTACATCACCGGGGACACAGGACTGAGCACTGAGTCTGAATGACAAATCACGCCACAAAGTCGTCACGCATTCACGTCTTGTAACCACCGTAATTGGGCGACTTGGTGACGAGCTACAGAAATACACAATCCACTGGGCCTGCGGGGTTACACAGCAGTCGACCGACCGAGCAAAACCGACGGTAGGCTGGTCACGCGTTGACGCACGTCGGAGAACAGAGCTCCAAACGCCGGCCACGTTCGTCACATCATAGCGGCGGTTGATTCAATTGATCGAGGCCGAAACAAAAAGATTCAAACACCAAAGGCCCAGTGAAGTTTGGTCTTAGATGTGCTGTCGTCAAACTCATAAAGTTGCTAAGATTCAATCAGCCTCTACCCACGGCTCATGTCAGATTTTACTGCGTTCATATTTTGGTAACTCGACCGAATACGATGGGTCTCGATGGGTAGTGTACGATGGGTATCGGATATTGTGGTATTTGTTACGCACACACAATTGCCCGCAACTATCAGCATAAAACAACGACAAACATTTGCTAACCACAAATAAAACGTTACAAATCACAGCCACGTAACCGTTTACAATGCATCCGCCCACCTACATTGGCTGTGGTGTAAAATATCATACCGGACTACTCCAGCGCTCCACGACTCTACCCCTGACTAACCACCTACATCCCGCTTCTGAGAGCAGCTGACCTACCCTGAGCAGGTGCTCCCGCCGCTGCTGGTAGCAGCTGACCTACCCTGAGCAGATGCTCCCGCCTCTGAGAGCAGCTGACCTACCCTGAGCAGATGCTCCCGCCGCTGGTAGCAGCTGACCTACCCTGAGCAGATGCTCCCGGCGCTGGTAGTAGCAGCTGACCTACCCTGAGCAGGTGCTCCCGCCTCTGATAGCAGCTGGCCTACCCTGAGCAGATGCTCCCGGCGCTGCTGGTAGCAGCTGACCTACCCTGAGCAGGTGCTCCCGCCTCTGATAGCAGCTGGCCTACCCTGAGCAGATGCTCCCGGCGCTGCTGGTAGCAGCTGACCTACCCTGAGCAGGTGCTCCCGGCGCTGCTGGTAGCCCTCCAGGTGCTCCTGCAGCTCCAGGAAGGTGAACCGCAGTTTGGGCAGCACTCCGAGCGCGGCCAGCATCTCGCCACTGGCGTACACGTGCGGCAGCTCGAGCGACTGCAGCGTGGCCACCACCACCTGGAGAGGCACATCGGCGTGGAGTGAGAGAGCCGTGGGTGAGGGAGAGAGAGAGAGAGGGGGGGCAGGGGGACACGGAGTGAGAATCGTGGGTGTCACGAGGCACAGAGGGACACAGGAAAAGGCGGAAGGTGTGCGAGAGAGAAGGTAAGGGGACATGAGGACCGAGGTTGTAAGAAAGGTGGTTGTGAGAAAGATGCAAAAATGACACAGGGCGGGGTGGCGACGGGTGAGGAACCAGTATCACAGCCGGCGACCTAAGATAAAGGATAAATGGACACGGGGTCGGACGGTGGACTGGATGTGCCGCACAGGCAGCGAACCGTATAAAAAAAAAACGCAAAACGCATCCAATAGCAGAGCATTGCAGAATATAGCCTGCCTAGCCGGATTGGTCTGCTACGCTCAGTGCTGGAGAATACGTGACAATCTGACATACATAAGTCGTGCTGGACTGACGTCCAAATGCACTACGCGGTCGAATTTTATTGAATCCGCATCAATCAAAAGCTGTGACACGCCAGAAAGTCTCGTGAAAATACATCGATCACCAATGTAACGATCATGGAATATGCATTAAAAGAATCTATCCATAATTGTATTCACTTGTACATTCGAGGAAATTATGCAGGACATCAGACCATCTCTTGATGGAAATTATCCAGTCTGTTAGCACCAGGAACAAACTTCAATAGCACTATTGTTTTCTATCAGGATATTGTTCGGCGCTTGAGTGGACCCAAAAAGCTTTTACGAAGTCGGTCGACTTTTTTCTTCCCCAGCTGACGTAAGTAAAGCTGTCGAGGTCGTGAAGCGACGCACACCTGTAACGCTGACGCGCTACATTTTAAACGAGTATTTCCAAAATTCTCTCATGGCGACGACGGCGTGTGCACCGGGGTTTGGGCGCCGGCGCTGGCGTCACCGCACCGCCGCGCCGGCAAACAGCCCCCGGGCCACGCCGGACCAAAAGGGTACGGCCGGGGCGAGAGGGGACCCGGCCGTCAAAACAACCCGGGCGCAGAGGCGGAGGAAGGAGGAGAAGGAGGAGACCACGCGAAAACCAGGACGAACACCGGTACCTGAGGACGCCTCTGTCAGCCATGAGGCAGCTGCACTGGGGAGAACGAGGCCAGGGGGAGAGAAGAGGACAGTTGGGAGTCAGAGTCTAGCTGGAGAGTTGACCATCGACGGCAGGAGGCCGGCCGGGCCGGACGGCCCGTGTGGCCGGACGGCCCTGCAATACAGGAGGAGAGAGAAGAGAACAGTCAGGGTTGAGGATTCAGCAGAGACGGGCCAAGGCGTCGGCTGGGCCCGGGCGGCCCTAACCGGCCGCACGGCCCGTCGGCCGGACGGCGCTACAGCACAGTTCTACCCGGGGACGAGTCAGAACAGCGGCTAGAGGAGGACCGAGCGGCGACAGCAGGACCCGATGGCCGGCAACCTTGAGTCACCAACAGCTTCAGCAGCCAACATCAGCCGGCTAGCTGCAACCTCACCATCAGATCAAGGTTTGGACAGGATCTGGTCGGGCGCTGGGCTGCTAACCTTTCTGTCCCTTTGCCCAGTTCCGACCCACTGATGTTTCTCTAAAAAAAAAAAAGGTTCCTTCTAATAATTGGTCTGGGCACAGTTAGGGGATTTATTTAGGATGTTTAAAATGTCAAACAAAAAGGGGGGGGTATTCAACGGAAGCTGCGCTATCTGCTGTCTGATTCTGTAAATTGTCGACCACAATAACTTCCATAAATGCTTATAATTGGGTAGCCACTAGCCATGTTTGGATATTGTGAATCATGAAGGAAAGGTTGGTAATTTAATCGGCGAAACTCTGGCTTTTCGCGCTGAACATATCTTTTAACGACAAGCTGTCCTAGTTATCGCGTAGGAATTACATTTTTTAACGTTGAATCTGTCTGGTTCCTTTAATTGTAAATACATAGCGTAGTAAAATGTAAACACATTTTTGATGAGGATGCGGTGATGACGGATCAATATGACGGGAAACCCAGGAATGTCACGGGGAAGCCGCGAGTACGACAGCGAAACACGGATCTGACACTGCATATTTAGGTGGTATATCTTTGCACTGTTTTATTAAATGCTTCTTCATCGAGAAACATTTGTTAGGAATTTAAGGTTTCCACCAGTTTTGGTAAGCATTTACGACGATATTCAGTAGGAAATTTTCAGCATTTGGTCGAGCTATTCCCGATAATGTAACTGAGAGCGAAACCAATTCATCGGCTTTTTGTACGCATGAGATCTTTGTTTATTTCTTATCCTTAGCAATCGACCATAGAATTGGGCACGCAGGCTGATAAACTCATTATTTTGTCCTTGAAGGGTTGCTTAATAATTAAACGCGCCAAAGTGTGATTATTCTCCGCTTCCGAAAGCAAAAATGCCTTTTTTTCTTTATATTCACGTCAACTGCTATTGTCCATTTATGTAGAAATAACTAGAATTAAATGAAATGGAAACGACTCTTGTCTGTTACAATGATCTTCTCTCACAGGAGTATAAATGTTAAATTATTTACTTCGGCTAGCGTGCATCTAATATTCATTGTGTTGCTGTTCTTGCATACGATTTTAATTATCTTTTCATGCCACGAACGATTATGACGTATGACTTAATTAGGTAACTGATAGCAATTGCGATCACCAACAGCCGACAAAGGATAGTGCTTCTCACTGACAAGTAATGAGCTCCAGCGCCCCAGTGACCGTCTCTCGCTCGGCGGCCGCGCTGCCGGTCCCATGTTTTCACGGCCAGCCGCCGCGCCGATTCACCCCTCGGAATGCGTAGTGGGGGAAGGACACGCAGGGGGGAGGGGACGCTCCGGCCAGACTGCGGCGCACAGTCGCCGGCCGGCCCGCTCGGCGCGGGGGCGCCCGCAAATGGCGGCCGGCGCGGTGTGAAAGGAGTGCGGGCCGCTGGACACCGAGCCGGATTGATGACGTCACCACCCTGACTACGGGTGGATTCATGTGGGATACAGAGTAGCGAAACAGGTTCCGATGTAGCATTTAATGTACGATGAACACGTTGAAAACAATATCATTTTGAGGTCGGTTAGCTCGCTCTAGTATCGTAATAACTCAATTTCATTAAATGTCATGGGTAATTAGTACGAATATGTTTGATCAAGATTAAAGTGAATTAAGCTCGGTTGGAAATTTGAATAATTATATTATCCTTTAAAATTGTTAGCAGTCGATTAGATACGTTTGTTGTTCCAAATAAAAACGGCGAGTGATAAACCGGTCGGTCGCGACAATCAATCGGCATGAAGCACTATTGGTTTATGATCTGTTGGCTGTTGGTCTCCTCTCTCTCTCTCTCTCTATCTCTCTCTCTCTCTCTCTCTCTCTCTCTCTCTCTCTCTCTCTCTCTCTCTCTCTCTCTCTCTCTCTGACTCTCTCTCTCCCTCTCTCTCTCTCTCTGACTCTCTCTCTCTCTCCCTCCCTCTCTCTCTCTCCCTCTCTCTCTCTCTCTCTCTCTCTCTCTCTCTCTCTCTCTCTCTCTCTCTCTCTCTCCCGCGCTTCTCAGCACCGATAACAACGAGCGATCGGTGGAAGATATTTATAGCAACCAAGCGGAGGTGCGCCCATGAACTGGGGTCAGCGGACAGTGTCGCGGGCCGGTGGACAGTCTCGGAGGCCGCCGGCAGCGGCCGGACCTGGCTCGCTAATGGTTCGCTGGTACCCCTCGCGCCGTCAACAAAGGGGAGAGACGGGGTCGGGCTGATTCCGGCTCCGAGTGAGCGGCGGTAGGTCGGAATTGGATTAATATGAATACTGCGCATGCTACACCGACGCTACCGTGCGGCAATTTATGGTGGAAAGTGGATGACGTCACACGAGAAGGTGATATCCGGATGGGAGAGAGCGACAGAGTGAATTGAAAGGCTAGTTTAAAATTAATTATTTAGCGTTAATATGTACAACGATACGTGTTCGATGGTGAATATTAAATGGAAATTAAATCTTGTTTATTAACCAATTCGCACCAATGCATTTTAAATTTTCATTATATTTCGTACTCGTGGTCAAATGCTAGCTTGATTTCAGTCTGTAAGCCGTAAGGATAATGGGACTTCACATTTTCCCAATGAGACTAGAATACCCGACTTTGACTCAGACAGCGAGGCCGTAAGTCTATGCATGTCGCTCCCCTGTGAGTGATATGCCTGCCAACGCGACTCTCGCACTTACTTGAGGTATTGGGAAACAGGGTACGGGTTGCAGTTGCCTACTGAGAATTTTCATGGGAGTTGAAATGAAACATTGTTAACTAAAATATTTGCCTTATTTTGTTGGGTTACCTTATTTGAAGTCGGTCGTGCTAATTGTGGGTTTCTGATTGAATGACGGGCTGGTGAGATAATTGCCCTTATTATCAGTTTGTTCCTTGAAGGCGTACACGGTTCTAGCGAATGTCCAAGCGGAAGGGATGAGAAGCCAATGAAAGGGGAGGGAAAATATACAATCGAAAAATGGATTTCCTGAATGATGATCAATAGGGATCGACCCCACTAAATGTTAGGCCTCGATTGAGTTAGCCCTGGGTGGTGATAAGGTCACGCGAGCCGTCGCTTGGGATGTGTACCGGCGGGTTGGTCGCCGCGAAAGGATGGTGTTTCTAGGATTGACAGCCTCGGAGGCTGGGCAGATTTTAGGCCGCCGGGTTGGCCCGAAACCCCTGAACTATGGCTGGAGCGAGATGCGGCTATTAGTATCACGGACGGACTTTAGTTACCCAGCCCGGTTTCAAAACGATAGGTAGGTCCGCTATCGGTCCCTCAATTGATCGGCGCAGGACGTCAGTTGAAGAACGACGTAGATAGTTTCGGAGGTGTTTAGGACCCCGGGCGTCTTAGCGAGGGAATCGTATGCCGCCGGAAGAGTAATGCCCCGCGAAGGAACGAATAGTGCCGCAAGACGGGGGTGAACCTTAGATACCGAGCATTCGGTCGGGTGATCGCAGTCAGACGG